CATAGTTTTTGTGCTCTGAACTCCGTGTTTACAAAGTCAGTCCCAAATGATGGACTCTAACAAACCGAAGTGTTATCACGCCGTTACATGCGTTCCATGAAATTAGATTAACAGCTGAAACTTTTCCTCTTCTTTTCTTAGAAAGAAAGTGTTTTACTTTCATTGGATTATAGTTGAGAGTAAAAAAAGCATTTTAGGAGGACTAAAATGATGAAAAGTTTGGTATTTAAAAATCATTGTGTCTCTGCACTATGAAGTAACACAGCTGAGGAAGGCAACCAAACACACTGAATGTTTTCTAGTTTCACGTGGCCTTCAATTTGGGGTGGGGGGTGGGGGGTATTTCTCTCTTTTGGCCCAAAGAACAATGGGTCTTTCATGTTCACCTTTCCATCCGTGGGTGCCCACTGCCCCCCTCAAACAAAAGCTCAACAGTTACTCAGTGGTTGACACAAGGCCATGAGTTACGTGATACTCTCTTCTTAAAAGGTGAGCAGTAAGTAAAAAAGGATGAATTAGAATCAACAACCTAAAAAAAGCTCTTCTAGCTGCATCAGTTTGACCTCTGAAAAAAGGGCTGCCATTATTAAAGAGCAGCACTTTAAGATGTGCTTTAAAAAGAAAATACTGTAGATATATTTAGGAGTATATACAGGTGCTGGTCATAAAATCAGAAAATCATGAAAAAGTTAATTTATTTCAGTAATTCCATTCAAAACTTGAAACTTGTATATTATATTCATTCATTACACACAGACTGATATATTTCAAATGTTGATTTCTTTTAATGCTGATGTATCTCAGAAAATTAGAATATTATTTAAGATCAATAAAAAAATGGATTTTTAGAAATGTTGGCCAACTGAAAAGTATGAGCATGTGCAGCACTCAATATAAGTTGGGCTCTTTTTGTCTGGATTACTGCAGCAATGCAGCATGGCATACCATACCATACCATACCACTTTATTTATAAAGCACTTAAAACAGCAACAAGGCCAACCAAAGTGCTGTACGGACAAAACAACAGATAACACACAAAGCAAAATACAAAATGAGGTAAATCAGAATATAGACAAAAAACGATGCAGATAATGACGACAAACCAGTGTAGAACATACAGGATCAAAACACAGATCATCTTGTGTTGAAAGCTATTGAATAGTACAAAGTTTGTTTTCTCAGTCATCCAGGTATATAACAACAAAAAAGGTTGAATCATGTCATCTGGACTTCGTTTTTTTGTTAAAAAAGAAACGTTTCGCCCCTCATCCAACACAAACACAAGAGTCAGGGTGGCTTCTGGGTAATACCAGATGGCTAGGCCTCAGACTGACGAAGCCTCTTGGATGAGGGGCGAAACGTTTCTTTTTTAACAAAAAAACGAAGTCCAGATGACATGATTCAACCTTTTTT